TTCTATCACGAATTCCTAATTAAATACAAAGTCAAATATCTTGATTTTGCAATTCAATTGGAGGAACAATTAACTTACTATTATTTTTAATATTATAGAAGCTAATTATTTTTATATATTACATGCAAAAACAGTTAATTGTATGACTTATAATCTTCAATTGTACATAAATATAATAACTTAAAATATAATTAATTACTATTTTTAATTCCTCTTTCCCTCTTCCATTTTTTTATTATATTATATTTTTATATTTTTTATATATTTATATATTATTTTATATATTTATATATTTTAGCATTATTTTACAAGATTACAAATGATAACAAATCACGACAAAAAATTTCAATTATTTTTCACAGAATGTTTAAAAATTCTTTCTTATTAAAACTCTTTCATTATCACTTTCATTTGTTTAATATTTTTATTGTCAGTATCTCTTGTCAAAATATTACATCACATATTAAAATATACTATATTTTGTGAAACTGTTTTAAAAATACACTGTACACTGCGAATATAATATTTATTTAGTAATAATAATAATATTAATATTATTTATTTATATATAATTATTTAATATTATATTAAATATCACAAAACATTATAGTTTTAAAATATTAATCTTATACTTCTGATCATGCGCAAGTATAATAAAGAAAAGCAAATAATCAGAAAAAGATAGAAATAGAATAAAAATATGGGAATCAGCGCCATCTTTAGAGTGCCGCAAATGAAATTAACATAGACAAGGAGAAAAAATAATAAAAAAAGGAAAGATATAAAATAAAAATTGACATTTAGCGCCATCTCAAGAATACCAAATATATTTCTTTTAAACAATCTTTTAAAAGAGCTTTAGAGATGGAGCTACGTTTTAAATCTTATTCTACTTTATCCTACTTTTAAAAGGGTACCATAAATATACACAAGATGATGCTGATAGTTAATTCTTATTCTATTTCTATCTTTATTCTCTGGCTATTTGCTCTTTCTATTTACATTAAATTTCTTTACGATACTTTAAAGATGGCGCTGATTCACTAACGTTTTTCCTTTCCAGATGTGTATACAAATTTACATTAAATACTTTATCCTAAATAATCCACAATCCCTTAGAATTAAGTAAACTGTTAAAAAATGATTAATTGGCTGAAAATATAATAACTTTATAAGGTAAGTAAGTATAAAAGGTAAGTATAAAAGGTAAGTATAAAAGGTAAGTATAAAAGATAAGTATAAAAAATAAATATAAAAATAAGCAAAAAGAAAATATCATAAATAATATAATGATATTTTCCCCATTATTATTTTATCAATAAAAAAAAATTGATAAAAATATTTGCTTTGGAATCATAAAAAGAGTACGTGGAAAATACTGCTAATAAACCAACTACTATGTTAAAATTCGGTTAACAATTTTGGATCTTGAAAATTGAATTTTGCATTACGAAAACATAAGTTGATAGATGGTCGCCCAAGAAATATTTCCAGGAATTTTAAAAAATTCTTGGAAATGACGTCAAATTCTCGGAATATCTAAAATTCTTGGAAACGACGTAAAATTCTAAGAATTTTTTTAAAATTCTTGGAAGTGATACCAAATTCTTGGAATTTTCTAAATAAGTCGAACGAATAAAATTTTTGTCCAAAAATTCGATTTTGTATTAGGAGAACATGATATGATAGGAGGTCGATCGAAAACTTTTTCCAAGAAATGACGTCAAATTCTCGGAATATCTCAAATTCTTGGAAACGACGTACAATTCTAAGAATTTTTTTAAAATTCTTGGAAGTGATACCAAATTCTTGGAATTTTCTAAATAAGTCGAACGAATAAAATTTTTGTCCAAAAATTCGATTTTGCATTAGGAGAACATGATATGATAGGAGGTCGATCGAAAACTTTTTCCAAGAAATGACGTCAAATTCTCGGAATATCTCAAATTCTTGGAAACGACGTACAATTCTAAGAATTTTTTTAAAATTCTTGGAAGTGATACCAAATTCTTGGAATTTTCTAAATAAGTCGAACGAATAAAATTTTTGTCCAAAAATTCGATTTTGCATTAGGAGAACATGATATGATAGGAGGTCGATCGAAAACTTTTTCCAAGAAATGACGTCAAATTCTCGGAATATCTCAAATTCTTGGAAACGACGTACAATTCTAAGAATTTTTTTAAAATTCTTGGAAGTGATACCAAATTCTTGGAATTTTCTAAATAAGTCGAACGAATAAAATTTTTGTCCAAAAATTCGATTTTGCATTAGGAGAACATGATATGATAGGAGGTCGATCGAAAACTTTTTCCAAGAAATGACGTCAAATTCTCGGAATATCTCAAATTCTTGGAAACGACGTACAATTCTAAGAATTTTTTTAAAATTCTTGGAAGTGATACCAAATTCTTGGAATTTTCTAAATAAGTCGAACGAATAAAATTTTTGTCCAAAAATTCGATTTTGCATTAGGAGAACATGATATGATAGGAGGTCGATCGAAAACTTTTTCCAAGAAATGACGTCAAATTCTCGGAATATCTCAAATTCTTGGAAACGACGTACAATTCTAAGAATTTTTTTAAAATTCTTGGAAGTGATACCAAATTCTTGGAATTTTCTAAATAAGTCGAACGAATAAAATTTTTGTCCAAAAATTCGATTTTGCATTAGGAGAACATGATATGATAGGAGGTCGATCGAAAACTTTTTCCAAGAAATGACGTCAAATTCTCGGAATATCTCAAATTCTTGGAAACGACGTACAATTCTAAGAATTTTTTTAAAATTCTTGGAAGTGATACCAAATTCTTGGAATTTTCTAAATAAGTCGAACGAATAAAATTTTTGTCCAAAAATTCGATTTTGCATTAGGAGAACATGATATGATAGGAGGTCGATCGAAAACTTTTTCCAAGAAATGACGTCAAATTCTAGGAATCTCTGAAATTCTTGGAAATGACGTCAAATTCCGAGAATTTCTAAATTTCTTGGAACTGACGTCAAATTCTCGGAAATGTGCTCGAATAATAGATCGAAACTGTTGGCCACAAATTCTGTTTTCTGTTTGGAGAACATTAATTAGTAGGAAGTGCCTTGAAAATTTTTTTTGAGATTTATACCAATTCTTGTATATGATATCAAATTTTTGGAATTATGAATTTTCTTTTTTGTCAATTTTTTTGATTTTATTTTAGTAAAATATTTGACTGAATATAGCACATCATATGTGAATTCTGAAGATTTTAAAAAAATCTAAAATTTTGTATTAAGATATGTAATTGGATAAGAGATGGCACGCGAAATTTTTTTGGTATTTTTATATAGAAACAAAAGTTATTTTGAAATTTGATATATTAAATTATACTTACCAATACTTACCAAATTTATAAAATACTTATAAATTCCATACTTACCTAATGCAGCTTTCATTTTATATGGTTCAGTGGTTTTTCAACATTTTTCTTAATTCTAAAAAGTAACTTACCTTTATATATTTGTGTTCTTATTCTCTTTAAAAAAATATCCTTAATACTTAAGAGATGGCACTAATGATTAATTCTTACTCTATGTCTATCTTTTTCCCATTGTTTTTTCTTTCTATTTATAGTTTCATTTACGGCATTCTATAGATGGCACTGAATTTCCAATTTTTATATTATCTTTGTCTTTATTTTCTTTCATTATTTTCTTTTTTTATCTATATTTATTCTAGAAAATTCATGAAAAAGAATTCCTTCAAGAGAATGTTTTAATTTCTGATTAACTTTATTGTCTTCATTGTTTAAATTATTAATTATAAATCTTAATAAAAATTTACTCGATTCAATTTTTATTTATGTATTATATACAAAATATATTGTATAATTGACCTAATTTAAATGTATTCTGATTTTTGACTTTGATATTCTATATAATTAGTATTTTAGAATATAGGATATAAAATTTCATAAGATATGTAAGTCTATTCTATACTTTGTTTGTGGTCTTCGGTTTCGATCCTTTTGTAAAGCGGTACGTTCAATATATATGCAGCATTTCACTGTACTGAGCTATTCTATGTTTCTGGTCATTCTATGGTACAATAATTGGTCAATGATTGGTTTATTTGAAATGCTTCAACCAATCAATTTTCATAACATTATCGAAACCATACGAAAGGCTTTATCTATGATAGTAGTATAAAGTATGGTCTCATGCGATACATACCGAAATCCCCGCACCTGTTTCAGTCAGAGTTGAAGTAAAAAGAGATAAACAATATATTTCCCGAGGCTAGGGTTCTTGCAAACAATGCACTTGCCCAAACTGGTGAATCATCTTTAGAACTGCAGCATCAACGAGAAATTTCTTATCAGACTGTATATCGTGTTAGAAGCCTACGAATAAGGCACAGTGCGCTATGCCAACCTGAGATCTTTTTCATAGAGAATTTAATTTGCAGTCGTATCGAGAGAGTAATTGTTATTCGTTCGAGAATTGTCGTGCATTCGAACGTACTCTAAATATCATCACGTCAACGCACTTAAGTGTTAATTCTAATTTTTACTAAAGAATTACATAATATATGTGCATGAGTCACAGGGTGAATAGGGGGGACGTGCAAACGTCAAAATCGTGCTGCAGCGATTTTCTTGCAGTTTAGGTACGGTAAACAAATACTGATACGGTTGATTGATTGTTTGATCTAAATTAGATCATACAACATATAATATTGAATTGGTAATCATTACTTGACATGTATATTATCGTTAACTGCTATACTGTTCGATGTCGATCGTATGATGTGCTGCCATTAGAAATTTTGCAGCGAGTATATTCTCATATTAAAGTTCGTAAGAAATATTAAATATATCATGGAATGAAGTAAAGATATTACTTAGTTATCGCGCAACATAATCGATTTTATAAAAACGATTTCTTTTGATGATATTCTTCGAAATTTGTGCAATTCACGTTTATTGAGTTATGACAGATATAGTATAGCAAGATATCTCAAGGTTAAATGATTTATGGATAAAAGCAATTATAATAATACGGTGTTCACAGTTATACTTTTTTTTTTTTGTTATGTTATATTTTTTTCATAAGAAAGTGACGAAAAAAAAAATATTCCGTTAACGCAAGAAAACTATTGATACTGATATATTTCATTTGAATAAAGTCTTATTTAAAATTTTTAAAATATCAAAAGTATATGTATATAATTTATCTTGATGTTAATTTGTGTTTGTTAATATTTATGATATTAATTCTATTACAAATCGCATGCTGTTTCTTCACTAACATTTCAGCTTGAATCTGGGCAAGAACCTATAATAAGGTTGCGATGAACAAGAAGCATTATGCAACTTTCCAGTGAGCAGGAAGAATACTACTAAGAAATGGCAATATCCAAATTGAAAATACTAAAGTGTAGGTGCATGATTTTATAGCTGTGGAAACTACCATCGTCTTATTTATAACTTACAACCAGGTATTTGTTAATCGAACAAAGTAGCTGTTCGTGTATATTTATTACTAAAAAATGCCAGCACCACCTCCACCTCTCTCAAGTTTGCCAGAGGCACCTATGTGTGAAAAAACTGAAGTGAGTGATGCAGATTCCCTGCCTCCTTGGGCCAAAATTACCCTTACATCTGCCGAGGCAGAAATTGAAAAGCTGATAGCTCGAAATGAGTTAAAAGATGCAGAAGTCACATATTTTTGTCAAGTTGAACCCATTTTGCAAGATGGACCACAGTAAGTTTTCTTAATTTATTTGTAAGCATTAGATATTTGTGTAACTATAATATATATAAAATATATAAATAATTATAATAATAATAATATGATTATTTAATAGATGTGGTTTAGTTGCACTTGCTATGGCATCACAAGAATACACAAAGCCAGTTTCAGTGAGTCAACTTTTAGCTGAAGCTCGTGTAAGAGGTTTCACTCAACATGGAGAAGTGTACAGTGTTGATTTCATGGGTACACTGGCAGCTGAATATTTACCTGATCATAGACCAGATATTTTAGTAGATTTACAGCAATGCCCAGATACATTGACACATGCTTTAGCTCATGGTGCAATGGTATTAATTCCATATGATTCTGATTTCAATCATGCTCCATGTTTAAAAAGAGGTCATAAAGCTCATTGGGCACTACTTGTGGGTCTAATTTCATCAAGGTACATAATATTTTTTTGTTATTTTTACAATTTAATTTAAAATAATTTAATATATATATA